TTGACAAAACTTTTGTGTAACCAATAATTGGTTTATGAAGAACAGAAAGAAATGACATTTTGTTTCGAGGTGTTGTAAAGTCTGTTGACAAATTACCTCTTTTGTTTGTCCACCTTTGTCTGTTTATAAACTAGAGTAATTGGGGAAGTTAGTCCATCATCTCATTCTTACTGATTGTCTTTACTACTAAAGACTCGGAACCATCATCTTCCCATTTCACATATAAGAGGTTGTTCATGGGCACATGCATAAAACAAGTCACCATGAACGCACTCACTCACAACTAGGGCTTGACATATTATAATCTTTGATGTAACAGAGACTTTGATGCATTGGATTTGAGAATGCACCTTCCTGCCGTGGTTGGTACACTGTACAAAGCTGTTAAGCGAAACGGAGGAGTTACATACATGTACTGCACAGCCATTAGGTTTCTGTTCTCTGTACATGATTTTCTTGATACCTATTGATTAACCCAAACCCATCATGTTAATCACCTTCAAGTAGTGTTACTGCCTGTGATATTATATAAGGATGTTTGGGAGTTTTCTCTTCTCCTATAAATCGATGATTTAGAGAATAACTAAAATTCTAGTACTCAAAGACGATATCTTGGTTAGTGACACTAGATAGTCTAGTGTTAAAGACATTTTAGTTGAGATATCTTTAGATGGCTAGTGAAATATAAAGGCAGACATGAATTTGCTCTAAACAACATCTCTGAAAATTTACTGCAGAGCAAAAGGTCGTGGTTTCCGAAGCTGGATGCTATTAGAAATGCAACAATTGATATTGTGAGTCATTCTTTAAAGTTCACAATGCTTGCACATATGTTTGTAGCTTCTCAGTTTAATTGATTAGCATAAGTTACAAAAATGGTCGCTTAGGTCCTTGATTCCTGATTATTGTTTTCTGGTATACGGACATAAAGCTTACAGGACTTAGAATTCAGGTTCGTGTGTTTGTAATGTTCTCTGGATTGAGATTATCCTTTGTAGTGTTTGCTAAAGTAACAGTTCCTGTTTGGACATGATGGACTAAACGGATCTGATGGTAAGACTTGTAATGCTTTTGGGTGCTTATCTGTTTCAGATTGTATCTCTCTTTTGCAATAGGGTATACAGAACAAGTAGAGAACATGCACTCCCTAAAGACTACTTGCGCTGGGCAAATATTTGCTCTAGCTAAGCCCCACGATTCTGTAGGCAAGAAGACGCATAATCGGATTCCCAAAGAGGAGAGAAAGGCACTGATTGAAACATTTATAAAGAAGTATGCACCTAATTCCATTTACCTTAGCAAGAATCTTGAGTTTTTTTCCAGTCCTGCGTGTTGTAATGGGTGATTATTTACAGGCATCAAAAGTTCAAAACCTAAACAATGGGAGTTTTCCTTCACTTTAGCCTCACACACAAGGAGGTGGGTGGATCTTTCTTCACCATAAGGGAGATTGTCAGAGAGATAATCCAAGAAAATAGAGTCCTTGGTCCCGGTGACTTGCTTCTCGAGGGAAAAGGCTCTGGCCATTTGCAAGATCAGAGTCTGTTAAGTTCAATGCTGATGGAACCAGCTCCCCTTTATCTTTGTCCCCAGACGGATTCCATTCTGCATCTGATCAAAATTATAATTTTTCTTCCGAGAATAAGTCAGATGAAAACAGGGAAACCATTGGCCCGGAAGACAGAGGATCTGAGGCATTCAATCGTGGGGAAGTGAACGCAACTCAACTTTTCGGAGAAGACGCCAGGCTGCTAGTACACCAGTCAATGGGGTTAGAAAACCCCAATTCCGCATATGCCAAAGAAATGTGGTGATATATATTCAGCATATTCGATGTGTTAAGGCCTTGGTAATGCGATCTTTAGTTTATGCTCTTTGATTGTGATCGATTGGCACCAAATAATGCGTAACAGCCAAGGGGAGAAGGGTTTATGCATTGTTGGAGGGTTTAGGGTTTTAGCAAGAAATCTTTGAATCCGTAACATAATGGGAGCTCCGCTCAGTTTTGTATAAGCAATAATTGGTTTATGAATTAATGGCTTTTTTTTGTTTCTGGAAAATCTATGTTGTCAATTACCTCTTTGTTTAATTTGCAAATGAGAGTGATTGCATAAGTTAGTCATCATCCCATTCTTACTAATTGTCTTAACTGCTAGAGAACTTGGAACCTTGATCAAGCTCCTAATAGAATAGTGCTGGACCAATCAGGCATTCGAGACAAGAGCTACATGTCAAGAGTGTTGCTGCTTTAGTTTGGTCACAACTCACGGGGACACAAGCTTTTTTTTTTCCTTTCGTTTTACACACAAGTTACAAGAGTTGGGAGAGAGAGAATAAGGACTGTATATCTAGAGACGCTCGTTGTGCACTCAAAGCCAACACGACAAGGGCTTGGCCGTCTAGAACCTTTTTTTTTTTTGTATGTGTGTATTGACATCGAGCAAGCAAAGCAATGAAAGTGCTTGATGAGATTCTGAAGGATCTCAAGTTGACGATGAAGATTATTGAAGAACTTATCTTTCTCTTATTCATCAGAACGTCCTTTATACAAGAGGAGAGGAGCTAGGTATTACAGGAGAAGTTAATGTGAGTTAGTGACCAAATATACACTAGACATATATGAGTCCTTGATATATACAATCACAAATACTATGATATCCTTATAGACGAAAGAGAATATAGAGGCGTCAAGGCGGACATTGGAACGTTTTGGAGTTTCATCTAGCAGAAGAATATGGTACGAATTATTAAAAATATATATATATAAATGGCACTAGCTAGCTTACTTGTAACGCAAGGCGAAGATGAGAAGAAGAGATAGGGTTTGGCAGATCATAATGCCATTACCAATAGGAAAAATAATTGAGATCAGCGAAGTAAAATCCAAAATCTCCAATTTATTCAAACATGATACGGTAGTAAAGTGACTAACCAACAATAAGCAACAAAGTTAATTAGTCTAGTAACTAGTAACTACTGTATATTTAAGTGGTTAAATGAGATGCTAGTAAGAACCCATAAAGGCATAAACTAAGTATTTCGTTTGTATTTTATTCTAACGTTTGAAATCTATCTTGATGCAAAATTTTCAATGTTCAAATTCTTCAAGTTTTTTTTTTTTCTTTTGTTATATGAAAGCTTAAAGTGTTTTTTGAGATACAAACTCAAACAGTCTCTACCTATTGGTATTCAATCAATGTATCAATCAATGTCAAATTGAGATCCTTCTAGATCTCATCTTCTGATCACGTAATGTTTTTTTCCAAATATTTCAGAAGTGATTACAATTTCGTATCCATTTCATTTGTTACAAACTTAATCCCAAATTTCAGACATAAAATAGATCATCAAATAGCA